TCTCTGTCTCTGTCTCTGTCTCTGACTCTCTTTCTCTGTCTCTGTCTCTCCCTCTCTCTGTCTCTCTGTCTCTCTCTCTCTCCTCCTCCTCTCTCCTCCCCTCCCCTGCCCTCCCCTCCCCCCTCATGGTCTTTACATCAGTATATTTATTTATTTATACTGGTTGTGAACCTAGTGTAAATGAACCTAGGGCCTCCTGCATGCAGCCACTCGGTCTACAATGAGCTATACCCTCAGCCCCAGTTGATTTGTTTTTAAATGCATTTCCTTCCAGACTCACGCACTGAAACACTGGCACGGGAGTATGTTTAAGATGGTATTTAGCTAGCATAGTGTTCAGTTATTCTGAACCTGACACAGAAAAATAAGTTGTTTTCGCATGTGGCATCATTTTAAAAAAGAAGAAAGTCAACTATACCGAAGCAGAGAGTTGAAACAGTGGTTACGGGGCAAGGGAAGAGGAAATGGGGAAATGTAGGCCAGAGGACCCAAAGTAGCACGCGTGAGGACGAGCAGGCACAGAGGGGACTGTTGGAGTCAGTGCTTCTGCTAAATCTGCTGAATGTAGCTCTTCTTGCCACACGCACACACACACACACACACACACACACACACGTACTCACGCACACACGCACGCACGCATGCACGCATGCATGCACCGGTAACTATATGCTGTGACAGATAAGCTGATTTGCTTTACTACAGAAACCTCCTTATTACCCATATTGATCCTGTACCATCACGTTGTACAACTTAAATATATAAAAAATATTTTTTAAAAAAAGTAGGAAGTATACAAAAATTTATTTAATAAAAACCTGGGAAGTATGATTTGAAGCCCTTATCCTTGCTTTGTTTTTTAGTGAATTTGTGGCACTGGTTCAATGATGCTTGTGGTCGCCTAAGTGGAACTAAGGTAAAGTTAACGGTCTTTTGTGCCTTCTTTAAATACTTTCAAAAATTCGCCTGAAGGGACTGTGAATGGCCAACTCTTGGGTGTCATCACGTATGGGGCTCTTCCATCTCTGTTGCCAGCCTCAGGTCCAAGGATGTTTCTTGTTGAATTACCCAGGGCACGAGTCCATGCTGTCTCAATGCCTAGTGTCATTGTCGTTCCTCCATTCCATGCTTGTCTATTTTCTTGGGATCAAACCCAGGCCTTCTCCCTGCTTGGCAAGCATTCGACCACTGAGCTTCCCAGCCCTCCTTCTTCCTCAACCCCTCTGTATATGTTCCTTTTCTAGTCCAGTCTTGCTTGTCCAGAGTGCTAGGAGAAATGATTATGGCTCTCTTTTGCTCTTCTAGTTATTTTGATAACTTTTTATTTTCATATACTTTAGAAATTATAGCAAAAAAAGGTAAAACTATGGTAACAAACTTCCATATTACCCTATATCCCTGTCACCAGTTGTTTATATTTTATCACATTGCTTTATTCTTTGCTTCCTGTCTCAGAATATAAATG